ACCAATCTGAGTCTCAACTTGGACCAGTAGAGGGAGCTAAAGATTAGTCTGATGTTAGGGCGCCTTCCAGGGGTCACCAACTCCAGTCCTCAAGGGCTACCATCCTGCAACTTTTAGATTCATCTCTGCTCCAAAATGTCTGAATTCCCTCTCCAGCATTCATTCCTCTCTGCAATAGGCTGGAAACGAGCAGTTTATTTGATCCAGGTGTGTTTGAGCAGAGACGCATCTAAAAGTTACAGGATGGTAGCCCTCGAGGACTGGAGTTGGTGACCCCTGCGTTAAACACTTTGAGCTCAATGAAGAAGAAGAAGCATCTTAATAGAGCAGACATGCAGAAAGTTGATCAGCAATTATAGGAAGTGTTTGTTTGTTGCAATGCAAATAAAGATTTTTTTTTCCATTTTCACCATGCAGTTTGAAAATGTAAATAAAAACTGATCAGTCCATATTTTCCAAACTGAAACTTTTTCCCATCTTTTTCTAATTTTATTTTTCTGCCTCACTTGTTCACTTGATGTGAGAACAAATCAAGTTCCTGAAGAAAATATTTAAGAAAAAGAACATCTCAAGTCCAAACATGAAGATCTACACGGCTGAGATTAAAACCAGAACCCGAGTGTCCCTCAATACTCCACCCCACTTTGTTGTGGTGAAAAAAAATCTATTTCCTGGTTTTGTGAGTAAAGCCTGTGAGCGCCTCGGCTGCAGAGTTATCATTTGACCAATGCAGAAACAAGACGTTTCACACTTGTGAGTTTAGTCGACATGTTCACAGGGTGTTAAAGCTTCTGAGTGTCAGGATCCTAAATAGCTCTGATGTTTCCTCTAAATGTCTCAGTTTAAAATAACTTCTGCCTCAGTTCAGCTCTGATCTGAAGAGACAAAGAGATGTGGAGCCATCAACACATCATCGTCTGCAGTAAGATATAATATCTACAACAATAATATCTACAGCAGTTTGCTTTAATGTTATGATAAAATGTATTTAATCAAAATAGAATGTGTTTTTAAATTATATAGCATTTATTTAAAGATTCAGTAGCACTTCCTGTTTGTGTTGTAACTGAAATGTGATTGTCTTATTTATCTCATCTGATAAAAAAACGAATTGTGCGCTTTACTTGAAAAAGTAGTTTTACAAAACTTGTAAAAAATATTGTATTGTTCATGTTACACGTCTCAGCTGGGTCAAAACAATTGCAACAAATGATGTTTATTGATGTCTCTGTTTCTCCTTCCGTCTGAGTGGAAAGCCTGTAAACATGAATAGCTTCAGTGAATGAAGGAACGACCGCCATCTTCTTCACCAAATTCTTTAGTTCAAGAATTTGTACAAAATTCTTGAAATTCATGATTTCAAGAATTTAGTACAAATTCTTGAAATCATGAAATCACTTTAGGGGCTCCTCATTTAGGCATCCTAGAGAAACTCTGTCTGCATTTTGATTCCTTTTTTTTTTCCTTTTTGATTTAACATGGTATTTCGGTCAATTTCAGACTAAAGAACATATATATTACAATGGAATACTAATAATTTATGTGATGGCTTATACTCTTAACCAGATTTTCTTGACTATATAAACAAGTGATGATTAAAATCTTCTACTATATTCACATGTTGAAGCATATAAACTAAACTGATGTTGTTGTCTGTCTGCAGCAGCTCTGAGTTTTGTGATCAGTGCTGAAGATTTGATCGAGGTGTTTGGATACGAGGGCAGAAGTGTAACATTTTCCTGCTCATATAGTTCAGGTTATGAGGAAAATGAAAAATACCTTTGTAAGAATAACTGTGGCTCCAGTGATGTTCTCATTACAACACAACAGAAAAATGACAAATATTCCATCACTGATGATAAAACGAACAGTGTTGTCAAAGTGACCATCTCTGCTCTTCGATCACATGATGCTGGGAAATACTGGTGTGGAGTCAGTAGGTGGGGAAAATATCTCTACACTGAAGTAAAACTGCACATAAAAGAAGGTAAATAATAACTTCATGTTTCTATATTTCACTAGAGATTCCACAGCAAATTCAAGCGAATTAAATGAAGCATCAATGTCTAACCATGTTCATATACAATTTTAATCAATGTGTAGTCTTAAATTTAGCTACTATTAGAAGCAAAGTGTATTTTCTAATTTTAATTCATCATGTATTTGCAAATCTGAATTGACTTTTATGTTAAAAATAAATATGTTTAGACATCAATGCAGATATATTAATACAATGCACAACTTTACTAGATTATGTTGAATATAAATCTCTATCAAAAAAGTATAACTTTGTTTTATGTGAACATTTCGTATAG